ATCCCCACCTCCTGGAACCCAACAGTCATCTTTACTCCTCATCAAGTAGAAAATGGAGAAAAACTAACTACTCGAATCGTACCTGTTGGTTAGTTAACACAATGACACACAACAGAACTCATGTTTTATACCAGTAGATCACAGCTGCTTTAACTTTTGTGACTTTTTCACGGACTAGTACTAGCAGCTAACGCTAAAAACAAATGCAGTAAGCAGGAAGTGGAAGGGAGGAGCGTGGCAAGAATTTTACCGGAAATACGTCATTAATGACCGTGGCATATAGGCTATTAGACAGCTTCTCTGAGACAAAAACACTCATCACCTCCACCTGTGTCTCGGTCCYGTCCAGTCGGCTGGACGGTCTCCTGTTCTCCTTGGTGCTGACTGGTGGCTGACTCTTGGCTCTCGGTGGCTTTTGGACAACAGCTGGTTTGTCTTTGGGGGAGCTGTTTTTGTTCCCCGGCTCTGAGCGAGGAGTGCGCCGGCGGGGACACCTTGGCGGTGTGGGGTTCACCGGCTCTTCGTCAGAAGATGGGGAGTTAGCCGGCCCGTCGTCCGTCGCCGTGTCACATGAAAGCCTGCTCGTGTTCGGAGCTTCTGTCACTAACTCTCCACTGGTCCCATTCACTCCGTTTTCTACAACTGGTGCTTCAAAACAGCAGAGAAGGTGAAGACATTCAGAGAGAATAAGTATTAATGATGTGCAGACTGATACTGAAATATCAATACCAGAACTTTATGCTCTAGAATCGATACTAAAATCAAAATATCAATACTTTGATACTTTAGTTATTTCACATAATTTTTATTATTGATATGAAAATAGTGGAAAATCACTAAACCACTCCAATCTTGTCTTAATCATATGTGGTTGGAGAGAACTACTTTTTCTTCCGCTTGAGTAATGCATAAGCACAGTGGCATGTGTTCAGTCTGTAGGTGTATGGCAGGTCATTTTAACATAAAATCTGCTTCTTCTGACTGTCTGAAATTACATTCTAGATGAGGGGTTCCCAAACTTTTTCATGCCATGGCCCACAAACAGCATTAGCTCTGGCCAAGGACCTTCGCAAACCCACAAACAAACAATGCTACAAAATATACAAAGTAACAACTTTTAGAATATTTTTTCTCACTATTATTCACCATTCAAAAATTAATATATTTCTTTAGAATAAGAATTTTGATTTATGCTAAACAAATATAAGGTAAGGGTTAGAAAGACTTAAATTAAATAAATTACTGTCATGTATTATTTATAAAGCAGTTATTTGAAAAACCCTATTTTTTTTTAAGAATTACCAGACACATTATGTGTGTTATCACAAAGTATCAGTATCGGATCAGTATCGCCGATACCAGCCACATTATATTTGGTATCAGTATCGGTAAGAAAACTGGCAGTATCGAACATCACTAATAAGTATGCAGAATAGGAATGGGTACCAAATTCGGTACATTTTTAAGTATGTACCGAATTCTGTCGGTACTACCAAGAACCTATTCACGTAACATCAAACGGTACCATGTTTTGGTACCTAAACACATCATTGTGACCATATTGGCGTAGGAGTGGTGGGTTTTCCACGCTCGTCCTGAAAGCAGCATCATGCAAGAGCGTAATAACGTCAGCAGCCGCTGGTTCAGTAAACAGAGTTCAGTCTGAACGTAGCTTGTAAAACCTCGCAGCTCCTAAAGTTGTCGAACAGACCGCCTCTGAATTATCTGGTGGATTAATTATCTTAGGCCTGCGTCACACTACAAGAAAATCAGGACAATTTTTGCCCTTCCAACAATCTTAAGGAAGTCCAGATTATCGTGATGCTCTGAAGATAATCTGAGCAGATATTCCCACCGTGGGTGATGAG